CTACAGTCACTATGTCAGTCCATCTTGTTGAAGATCTTCCTGATACTCCTTTCCTGATTTTAAACCATGCCGTGTTCCCTTGTTCTGTTCAGACAATAGCTTCTTGGTCTACACATATGTTTCCCATGAGCACACTTGAGTATTCAGGGATTTCCATTTTTCTCTGTGTTAGCCATAATTTGTTAGGATCAGCACAGTGAAAAGCACTTGCATTGTCAGTAAAACACAAATATGGATAGTATCATACCATTCCCAGATTGTGAATCATAACCATACTGACACGCGGTGTTAACTATCACAATACACCTGATAAAAGGGATGTTGTTGTGATGTACTATACAATCGGAACCAACCCATAGCTGACTCTCTGAGAGGTTTTCAAAAGCAGTTAATATCACGGGAGAAGATTGTCCATCCTTCTCCCGTGGCACAGCTAGTGGCCTTGAAACAAGTGCCTTCGGGATTGCAGTGTAACTTCTTGCCACTAGGACACAAGGGATAGTATTCAAAATTTCTTTATATATATACAAAAGTTCGACAGTGAGTAAGGATGACTGAAAAAGAACTGATACCTTAAACTGTGGTGTTGGCAAAGAGTGTTGACTATACCAAAAGGACAAATAATCTGTCTTGGGAAAAGTACAGACAGAGTGCTTTTTCAAAGCAAGAATGAAAAACAACTATGAGATATCATCTCACTCCAGTCAGAATAGCAAAATTTAACAGAACAGCAAGCAAGAAATACTGGTGAGGTTGTGGAGAAACTGGAACCCTTATTCACTGTTGGTGGGAGTGTTAAATGGTGCAACCACTATGGAAGGCAGTATGGTGCTTCCTCAAAAAGTTGCAAATAGATATGCCATTTGACCCAGCAATTCCACTACTGGGAATATACCCCAAAGAGCCCATAACTGACATCTAAGCAGATATAAGCACACCCATGTTTATCACAGCTTTGTTTGCAACAGCAAGGAGTTGGAAACAACCTAAGTGCCCATCAACAAACAAATGGATAGAGAAATACTACGCTGTATTGAAAAACAAGAAACTCATGCAATATTATTCAAAATGGATGACCCTGGAAGACATTATGCTGAATAAAATATCTCAGTCACAAAAAGACAAATATTGCATGGTGCCACTGTTGTAAAACAGGACTGACCTCAGGGTTGGTGGGAGACGGAGAAAGATGGGTTCAATAATATATACTGCATTGAAACAGATAAGGGAGAAAACTGTTTAAGAGGGATATGTGATTGGGTGTTTTTGTCATGACAGGAGTCCAGAGCGAAGGCTGCATAGTGGAGTGGACCTGGGGGGAGGGATTGTAAAACAATGAAAGAATTTTTCTTTTACTTTTCCAAGAGGGTGGTGTACTAAGGGGGATGGCTGGGAGGGGAGAAGAGTGCAACAGTGAATGAATGGAAATCCAAAGTCTGTAAATTTTCATCGAAATTAATAATAAATTAAAAAAGAAAAAGAAAAAAAGCAAGAATGAAGAGATTTTTGTCTCACATACGTTTGGCATGTTATCAAAAGGAGCTAGTCCTTAGACAAGGACATCATGCTTGGAAATGTAGAAGATCAAATCCTTCAACATTTGTAGGCCTGGGGTTCCCTAGAGACCCCCTTCCTTGGTGTCAAGGAGTTTCATCATGCAGGAGTCCAAAGAGAGGCATTCCACTCTGGGCAATTATTTTGTGGTGGTATCAAGGGTCCATAGTCAATAGTCTTGGCACCAGCAGCCAGGAAATTAAAAGGCGCATTGCCATGGGAAAGTCGGCTGTTAGGGACCTCTCCAAAGTGCTGAAGAGCAGTGGTGTCTCTCTGGAGACTAAGGTGCGTCTGATACAGGCCATGGTCTTCGCAATCACCTGTTATGCATCAGAGAGTTGGACAATGACCAAGGAGGATAGAAGGAGAATTGATGCCTTTGAGCTGTGGTGCTGGAGAAGAGTATTGAGAATACCATGGACTGCTAGGAAAACAAACAGATTTGTCCTGGAAAGGGTTAAACCAGGTGGCTCCTTGAAGGCAAGGATTCTGAGGCTCCGTCTAACATACTTTGGACATGTTGTGAGGAGAGACCGGTCCTTAGAGAGGGACATCATGCTTGGGAGGGTGGAGGGACAGCGCAGGAGAGGAAGGCCCTCTATGAGGTGGATTGATTCAGTGACTGGGATAATTGGGATGGGAGTGTCAGAGACAGTGCGATTGGCACAGGACAGAGCGGAGTTTAGGGCTGTTGTACATAGGGTCGCTATGAGTCGCAAGCGACTCGACGGCACATAACAACAACATAAAAATCAAGGGTCCACTGCTCAGCTGGCTTTCCTCCTCTTTTATCTCTACAGAGGAAATGGTGCATTCCACTCTTAATTCCTCTGTGACTATTTGGTTTATTGGGATTGTGGAAGATTATGATGTACGTGTATTTTTTGAGCGACTCAGTTCAGTATAGGACAAGATGCACTAAAACATACATGGTGATTTGAAAGTAAAACTTGGAAATAAAGAAGAGAGATTGATAATCAGAAAATACAGTGTTAGTGATAGAAATGAGGCCAGAACTCACATGATAGTATTTTTAAAGACCAATTCCTTATTTATTGCTAATACCTTTTCTAAAAACAAACATAAATGGTGACATGGACTTCACCTGACGGAATACACAGGATCCTAATGACCACATGGAGGCAAACAGACACTAGAGAAACTCAATGTAAGCTGCTGCCAGAAAAGGGCCAAGAACTGACTGTAGAGCAATCCATCAATTGCTCATATTTAAGTTCAAATTGAAGTTGAAGAAAATTAAAACAAGTCCATGAGAGCCAAAGTATGATCTTGAGTTTATTCTGGCTGAACTTAAAAAAAACACCTTAACAATAAAGTTGATGCATTGCACATTTAACAACCAAAAAGTAGACAGATAATAGGATGGCATCAAATATGAGGAGATCAAAAGGTCATAGCAAAGACGGAATGGATTAAAATGGATGTCAGAAGAGATTCTGAAACTTTCTCTTGGAAATGTTAAAATGAAAGTAAGAACTTACCAAAAGAGGTGAACAGAAAATTTGATAAGTACCTAGTCAACTAACTTAGAAGAGCTTCTTATTTGTTCCCATTTCAGAAAAAAGTGACCCAACAGAATGTGGAAATTACCTAACAAGATGATTAATATCACATGCAAGTAATTATTCAAGAACAACTGGAGCGAGACACTGACCGAGACCTGCCAGAAATGCAAAACAGATTCAGAAGAGATTGTGGAATAAGCAATATCTGATGTCAGATAGATCCTGACTAAAAGCAAAGAACACTAGAAAGATGTTTATTGTGCTTCAGTGAATATGCAAAGGGACTGACAGCATGGATAAGAGTAAACAGTGAAAAGAAAGGAAACATTGAAAAGAAAAGGAATTCCAGAACACTTAAATGTACTCACATGGAACCTATACAAGAAGCAGTGGTTTGAACAAAACAAAGGGGTACTACGTGGTTTAAAATAAGGAAAAGTGTGTCAAAGTTACATCCTTTCACCATATGTATTCAATCTATGCTGAACAAATAAATGGAGGAGTTGGATTATATGAAGAATTTGGCATCAGAATGTCAACATACAGAGCACACAAACTTGCTTACAGAAAACAAAGACATGAAGCACTTACTCATGAAGCTCAGAGATTACAGCATTCAGTGTGGGCTACATCTCAAAATGAAGAAAATAATCTTCACAACAGAAACAATAAACATCATGATAAATGTAGAAAATATTTGCATTTCCAGCTATTTTCTTTCATGAGGATCCACAATCAATATGCTTGGTAACAACAGTCAAGAAATTCAATGGCACGTTGCACTGGGCAACTCTGCTGCCACAGGCCTCCTCTATAAAGTCGGTGCTCAAGTACAACGATGGCAGTTTACAGACCAAAGTGCACCTGACTCAGGCCTTGATATTTTCAGCTGTTCCATATGCATGTGAAAGCTGATAAATGAATAAGCCTGAAGAAATACTGATGCCTCTGAGTTGTGGTGTTGGTGAAGCATTTTGACTAGACTGTGGACTGCCAAAAGAGTAAACAAATCTGTCATGTAAAAGTGCAGCCAGAGTGTTCCCTTGAAGAAAGACTGGTGTAACTTGGGCTCCCATGCTTTCGACATGTTAGCAGGAGGGGAAAGTAGAGGCGGGTCGGCTAAGAAGAGGGAGAGTTTCAATCAGATAGATTTGCAGCGTGACCGCAAAAATAAGCTGAAGCACAGGAGAGATAGGGATAGCCTGGGATCAGGCAGAGTCACGTTCCATTGTTCTATTGTGCCCAGGGTTGCTGTCAGGCAGAGCCAACTCAATGGTACCTTACAACAAACTGTAGGAAACTAAAGTCTTGATAAAACCACCCGCTTGTGGAACTTCTGTTGTAGCAACTGAAACAGATAACTAATCACCTAATATCCTGCCTACAATGGACCATTCTCGAGATTCCACTTCTCGTTGTAGTGTTCAAACACATTCATATTTGTGGTGATGAGCGGATCTAAAGCAGCTAGGAGTCACTCAGGGCTGGGGTACATTTTTCGAGTATTCCCAACACTGTACAATCTCCCAAGCCAAGTGATAAGCAAATCCTGACCATATCTGCATCTTTTTATTAGAAACGGCCCATATGTACAGAATTCCCAGTCTTGCTCCTTGGCATGGGGACAAACCACAGAGAGACTGTCAGGAAGCACTAACTGATGATTTACCTGCCTCCTTCATGATTTGCCTCAAGCCAATACATATACACAACATTCTTTCAGCCAAAGAGGAAATACAAATTTGAGCTTTCAAAGTTCCCTGCCCACTTCCTCTATTTAGACTATTGAGCCATAACATCACCCAGTTCAGCAAAACCAGTTGCCCACCTTTGGACCTGAAGTGGAAGTTCTCCCCCAGCTTCCCCTCTGCTGTGCGGCTGACCTGTGTCTCTCCTGTTCTGTGTGTCAGAACAGGCCCCATGCTGCTCTGGATGCTTGCGCTGCTCTTCGGTGAGTCACTGAGCAGGAGTATCTCTTCCTGGACACCAGGGACAGTAAGTCATTGCTGGGACACAGAGTTCAGGATTTCACCTTTTCTGACGCAAGCAGATTTGCGGATGGAGCTTGAATGAGATGTGTACACTGTGATAGAGATGGAGTGTTTTCTAGCCCATTTGTCCTAGGTCCTCGGCAGGGCAGCCCTCTCAGATGAATGAGTGCTACGAGGAGACAGAAAATCATTTTCTAAAGCCCCTTGTTTCATAATGATACTTTTGCTCTGTAAAATCAAATTAAAATGTTCGCTGGGACTGTCTCTATAGCAAAACAACACAGGAAGAAAAGAGGCTTCTGAGGGAGAGGGGGAAGGGGAGGAAGATATCACGGGAATAGCGTGAAAGTAATTCAGCGGTGGTAAAGAGAGGTAGATACACAGAGTGGCACTGGTGGAAGGGCATATTACATGTTGGGCTGTTAACCCAAAGGTCAACAATTCAAATCTACCAGCACTCAGAGGGAGAAAGATGGGTAGTCTACTCTTGTAAAGATTTATGGCTTTGGAAACCCACTAGAGGGTCAGTCAGCTCGAAAGCCTTAGGTTTGAGTTGATGTGTTTGTGAAATGTTAGGCTTTTTTGTTCCCCCTCAAGAACCAGTCAACAGTGACTGGACTGTTCATCTAGAGAAGAGGGTCAAAGCCCTTGTGAATTTGATCCCTCTCCCTCTACTGATGTCCTCTCTGATGGCAGAGGGGGTCAGGTTGGACTGGTCCTCAGAGCTGGGTTGAGTAATCAAGCCTATTTCTTTCTGATCTGTATCTTTTTCTTCTCTAATCTACTTTTTGCCGTGGCAATAACTCCCACACATGATGGAGGGTTGGCTTAGGGGTAGAGGACTGCAGGGGGAAGGGTCTCTGATCTCACCAATATTCAGCTCCCTCTCAGTCAGTATTATCCTGCTTAATTTAGAGAAAAAAGTTTGCACATATATTTGACATCCCTTTATAATTTGTGAATTGACTTATTTTTTGTTTTAAACTTGATCCCAGTAAGTTGTTTGTTTTCATTGAGACAGAAAAAAATAAAACTCTTCCTAAATACAATCTAAAAGTCTGTGGGAATGTGATTCCCATGAGGAAAATTTTGGTTACAATGTTCTTCCTTCTCCAAGCTCACCCTGCTATGCTGTTTTCTATAAATGGTCACTGGGACGAGTGAAGAGGCCTAATCTTGAACTAAAGGTACAGATAATATGGCATAGTATCCGGATATAGTCCAGATGAACAGATTCCAAGGACAAATTGTCTTATTCTAGAAACAGAATCTTTTCAGGGGAACCAATCTTTGAATCTTAGAGACATCCTGCTGGGAACAGTGGAGCGTTAGAGACAGAGAAGAAGATCCTCAACATCTACATAGACAGACCCTCATCATGATAGATTGACGCAGTGACTGTCACAAACGGAGAAGCATGACAAAGATGGAGAAGACAGGGCAAGTCAGTGCAAGGCTCAGCTCTGTCGTAGTTGACTCGGCAGCACCTAACAGCAACCACATAAAGAGAACAGGGACCTCTCATGGCCTAGTGAGTAAGGAACTGTAACTGCCAACCCAAAGGCAGGCAGTTTGAATCTACCAGATGCTTCAAGGGAGAAAGATGGCCAATCTCCTCCTCTGAAAACTCCCTGGAGTAGGTTCTGACTTGACGGATGGCACCTAAGAACAACACTGACAGAATGATTCTTGGACTTAACTAGCTTTCTAAGTTTACAATCCAAGATCTGGATGGGAAAGAGCAAAAGAAGAGAGGAGAGAGATAAAGCAATGCAATGCATAATGCAAAATTCAAGAATCATCAGAACACATTTGATTCTCAGGACCCCAGAAACGCAGCCCAAGATGTAGACCTCAGTAACAAGAGAGTTACCACAATTGCAGAGCTAGTATTTCCGCTCAAGTGTGGACAGAAAAAAAAAAAGAAAGAAAGAAAGAAAAGAAACATTAAATACTTACTTTATAGAATGTAGGAAGCTCTGGTGGCCTAGTCCTTAGGAAGTTGCACTGCCAAATGAAAGGTGGTGCCTCTCTGGAGACTCAGATCCTTCAAAGAGAAGTGAACAATCTCTTCCTATGAGATTTGCAGCCTCAGAAACTCATAACCCAGCGATTAAATAATTAAAGTATTTTCATTATCTGAAAGGTTTAAAATCAGGAAAACTGTATAATAGAGTTATATCCTTTCACAAAACTTATTGAATGTGTGTGCACTGAACAAAAAACATAAGGAGGCAAACTGTATAAAGAATGCAGCATCGAAATTGAGGAAGAACCATTAAAAAACTGCAACGTGCAGGTGACACAATTCGCTTACTGAAAGTAAAAAGGGCTTGAGATGCTTACTGATGGAGATCAGAAGCTACAGTCTTCAGTATGGATGTCACCTCCACATAATCAAAATCCCCACAGCTAGGTCAATAAGAAACCTCATCAAAAGTGGAGAAAAGATTGACATTGTCAAGGCTTTCATTTTACTTGGCTCCACAATCAACAACTATATAAGCAATAGTTAAGGCAACAAACGACATATTGCAGTGGGCAAATCTTCTGCCAAAGACTTCTTTTAAGTGTTAAAGGCAAAGGTGCTGATTTGAGGATTAAAATGAGCATGACCCAAGCCATGTATTTTCAATCACCTTATAGGCTTGTGAGAGCTGAACAATGGCTAAAGAAGATTGAAGAAAAATCAGGAGCTTTGAATTACAGTAATGGCAAAGAGTATGACTGCCAGAAGAAGGAACCACCTTTCTTGAAAGTGCAGCCAAAATCCTCCTTAGCAAAGAGGATGAGGCTTTTTTTTTTTAGGATGAGGCTTTTTCTTCACATACTCTGGGCATGTTACCAAAAGGTAACATGTCTTATAGAAGGGATTGCTAAAGCAGAGAATCAGAAAAAAATAACGAGACCCTCAAAGAGATAGAATAACAACTGTGGCTGTAAAAATGAGTTCAAATAGCAAAGAAGATGAGGCTAGCACAGAAACAGGCAATGTTCTTTTCGTTATGTGTACAGTTTCTATGAGTCAAAACCAACTCAATGGTAAGCAACAACAATATTCTCATCTAATTTTCAAAGCCTTGTGAGGCTCTTTTTGTCCCCATTAAGTAGTTGAATAGAAAGCTTACAAAATGTACCTCAAATGACTCCCTCTAACAAGAGTGAAGCAAACGTGTGAATCCAAGGGCGTATGATGTCAAACCCCATATTTTTCTCCATTCTACTGCCCGGCCATCACGTAGTTGGATTCTAATCAGATAAAAACTGGAAAAAGACATTAATTTAAAGTGTCTAACAAGTCATGTTCTCATAATAGTGAGCTCTGGTGTCACAGTCTGTAGGGAATTGCACTGCTAACCAAAAATGCATGCCTCTCTGGGAGTTCAAATCTATAGGCAATTCTATGAGACAAGGCAATCTCCTCTGGTCCAACTCAGAGCCTTAGAAACCAAATAGAGGGCCACCTGGAGGTCAGTTACAGCTCAACAGCAATGAGTGACTTGATTATCGCTACTGACTACTAGGAATTCAGGAGGTTAGGAGCCCAGACACTGAGCAACTGGAGCATAGCTGAACACAAAAGATAAAAAGTTTAGAGGGTGAGCAAGATTCTTCTTTGATTCTAAGGTCATCTTTATTGCAATACTGAACATTTTCTCCACACACATATGTTGTTGTTGATTGCCATCAAGTCAAGCATGACTCATAGTGACTCTATGAGCAAAAGACCTGATGCCTTTTTATAAATACTGTCATTTGTCCAAGTTCAAAGAGTTTCTATAGGCATGTGGTTTAGGAAGTGGATGCCACTACTGCTTCCAAACCTGAATCAATCTGGGAGCTCCTCCAAACACTGTCCATGAAGGGTAACTATTATAGTGTTTGACGCATCTATGGCAAAGTGTTCAACATCACAGCAACTCCAAATTACTTCAGTACAGCAAATAGACAACTGCTGTACCACTTTCATCCCAAAGGCCCTCAGGCCATATGTATGGTATTTTTAAAGACAGGCATGCCCAACAAATGCTGGTTGAAAGGTAATACTTTAAGGAAGAACTTTCAACATATATTTATTCTTATATGTACTCTATTTTTTTTCTTCTTAAAATTTATGTACTTGAGTGGAAGTTCATAAATCAAGGCACGAAGGTTGAATCCACCAGCTGCTCCGTGGGAGGATTTGTTTCCACATGCATACACAACATTCACTATAGACATCATGGGTTCTCTGCTTAGCAGTCTCAGCAACATGGTAGTCACAGCTTGGAAAGCAGCATGTCCCATCATGAAAGAGCTCAGTTGTGAGATAATTTATGTTGAACTAAAGATCTACCCTGTAATTTCCATCCACTGAGCTTATTTCTGGTATTAGCAGCGGTTTAGTAGTAGGATTCCCACCCTGACCACCCGTTTGTCAGTGGAGGCGTAAATATTGCTGTGGTATTGAATGTGTTTCAGTAGAGTTTCCAAAACAAGATGAACTAGGAAGAAAGGCCTGGTCATCTATTTCTGCAAATCAGTCAATGAAAACTTCATAGCTCACAACAGACTGATCCATTCAGTCACAAGAAGGGCATAGGACCGAACAGTGTTTCATGCTATTGTGCTTGGGACCATTGTGAGCTAAGATTAACACAATGACAGCTAACAGTAAGTCCCATTTCTTCCCTATGAAGTGATTCAGAATAAGTTGCTCCCTTCTTTTAAGCTTAGTTTACTATGCATTTGAAGACCTCTATCTTAGGCCAAAGGTGGCCCAAGGGTAAGAAGGTGCACTGCAATCCCAAAGGCACGAGGTTTGAATCCACCAGCTGCTCCACAAGAGAAGGATAGGAAATCTCTTCCCATGTGACTAATTGCCTCTGACAACATGGTGAAGGCTTAGCTATGGGTTCCAACTCTATTTCATACAACAACAATCATGTCCTTAAGGATTTCCAACATAGTCTGTTAAGTA